GAAAAAAGAAATACTTTAGAAGGCTATCCTTAATAGAAAAATCGCTAGTTCCATAAAGTTGTATGTCATAAATGTTAGAAAACCATAGAAAATCGCTATACGAATCCAAATGTTCAAATTCATAACCATGCATAGGATTGCAGAACCCAGCGCAGCAATGGGACAGAGGACAAAAGGCACAATTATTTTAAATTTGTAGTAATTGTTTTGATTTGTGGCTTCAATTGCAGAACTTATATGAAGAGTTGATAAGGTTAAAGGCGAACTATGAATCCCTCCAATGCTCTGAAAGGTTCTTTTACATACATACATATATACATATATAATTATTAAATTAATTGTTAATGTTATTTAATGTGTGAGCCTGTCTTTTTCAAATGGTATTGACATAGACTGGACTGCATTTTGAATTAGGCAATTCCTTGAGGGGGATCAGCTAAATGTAAAAGAGTTGCACAAAATTGAGAAACAACTTGACAGAACTCTCTTACAAACTCGAAAAAGAAAGGTAAAAATTCATGCTACACTTCCGATTTTCTGAAGGAATTTATGATTGTTTGTGTATACATATGGATGTATAAGAGAGAGATACAGAGTTTGATTTTATTAAAAAGAAAAAACTATCTGAAAGTAAAATTTTAGTAACGTGATAAACAATTCATTTTAAAAAGAAAAAAGAAAAACAAAGATAAAGAGATAATTTAAATAAAATTTAAAATTACACAAGTTAAGAAACATTGAAAGAGCGTTATTATAGAGATGACAGAAACGAGACCAATTAGTTCTAAGAGAAACGATTTATAACTCGGCTAACTTTAAATTTTATTAGTTGATTTACTAGAAATTTTTTATCATTTGAGATTTTTTGGAAGAAAATATTTCTTAAATTATTTACAGAAGAGCCACTAATCAAGAAAGAACCACAACTAAGTCACTCTTTATAATATATCTATTATAGAATATGATATATAGACTGCCATCTTTTTTCTGTGGTCCGGGAAGATTCTGATAAACCTTGAACCTTTAAATTCTCTTATTACAATCGGAATGACTCTTATAAGACCCGAAATACTTTTTAATACTCATAGTATAAATTATACCCACACGAAATGTTTACTTAACCTCTTTAAAGATTATTTTACGATATTTTATAGAATAGACGAATATCATATTCATTACAGATCTCCTTGTTAATCATGATTACCATTACTACTTAGATATTTGCTGTGTAAATACGTAAGAGTCTTTTGTTTTTTGTCTTTAAATATATAAATATATACATTTGATATTATAATTTTCTGATTAAATATATGAAATATGCAGTTCGAATTAATGATAAATCGGTTGGAACAACTCCGTAGAAAGGTAAGCACTCCCATAAATCAATTAATTAATATTAAGGCTTCAGCTTCACAAATTTACAAATCCCAACTGCTTTAATCCTCTTACCTTCACCCTCTGTGACTGTGACAGTTCACCAAGCTTAATCAGCTCATTAACTAAACTAATTAATTTGCATTTTACACGCACATATAATAATCGTGTGTGTGTATATATGTATATGCTTATCAATTGTTTCTTATAATTTCATGAAACAGGAACGTGATCTTGAAGAAGAAAATGAACTGCTGAAATCTAAGGTGTTAACTTTCTTTGTAATTCATATCTAGAAAATTAACTTGCCATTATATAAATATATATACATGTATGTGGTGTACGAACTAATACCTTAGATGTGTTATTTCAGCTGGAGGAAGTAAAGTTTCTTGAATCAATTCATCAAGGATTAGTAACGGGAGATCCGAATTTATTAGCTGCAGCAGGCGTCGACCGCATTAACCCTGTTCCACCTACAACCCACTTCCAACAAGATTAATATGGTGTACATATACACATATATGTGCATATATCGTGCACACATAGAATCGTTATATACATGTATACATATTGAAGCAGCTTTGTTTTTGAATTCAGGTACCGTGAATTGAAACCCCAGGAGAAAAGCAACTGATCATGGCTGTGGCAGGCAGAAGTGATAATACAGATTCACCCTAAGCCACCAGCTGGCCTGCCTTTGGTTTCTTATATAATTAATCAATATAGACTCTTCGTGCATTTTCAAGTGTATGTGCACATAGAAATAAATATTGATGAAGTGCATATGCAAGATATTGCTAATCGGATAAATATGATCATTTATTTGCTTGCTTATTTAATCATGGTAATGTTTGGAGTCTTGATCAATTTTTTAATATTATTAAATAAAAATTTATACTTTCTAAAAACGTGTAAATTCTTTATTATTTGTTTCAAACCGATCATTAAAAGATATTGATTTATAAAACATGTGTTTGCCAGTTTTTCAAAAAACCACATACATATATCTGTATATATGTACAATCTGGTTTATAAATTTGAACGTATATCATTTATATATATATATATATATATATATATATGCGCCGGCAAACCTCATCACCATATAACCTAGCAATTGTTGCCGCCAAGGATTTCGGCTGTATACAGCTGATATGGGCCGGTCAGAGTTGGAGTCTTATGAACATTAAAATTCCGTGGGCCAGTGCCAGTTGGTAAACCATTTGTGCCGCTGATTTCAAAGAACAGCTTGGAGTGTCGAGGACATCAGAACGAGCCCAGGTAAAACAGTAAAAACCAATACTTTTTACCTTCCCCTCGGTAAAAAAAAATAATAATAATAATAATATATTTTAAAG